GAGGAAGGAAGAGGGATAGAGAGTTAGAAACATCGATGAGAGAGAAACATCGATCGGCTGCCTCTTGCACGTCCCCTACTGGGGATCAAGCCCACAACCTGAGCCTGTGCCCTTGGCCAGAATTGAATCTAGGACCCTTTAGTCTGCAGGCCGATGCTCTATCTACTGAGCCGAACAGGCCAGGGTGTAAACCCTTTTTAGTAAAAGCCCCGGGGAAGGGATTTGGGGGCGGGGGGAGATGGGGTGCTATGAGAACAAAGGGTGCCTCTCTGGCAGCCTAGAGGGCTGTGGTCGCCCGCAGGACACAGCTTTAGGCTGCTTGAAGCCCTGCTAGTTTGGTGGCCTCCCCGTGCAGGGGTTTGGACGAAGTCGTTAGTTTTCACCGGGCCCCTTTGCCCCACCCCCCCGCGCTGAGCTGGGCTCTGCAGGCGTTGGGTACTTCCCGGCGTGACTGGTCACATTTGTGTAATCACTTGTTTTACTCATCTCTTCTGACAGAAAACTGTTGTGGCCAGAGGCTGTTTGTCCTGTGCTGTTGTGTGACCAGTGCCAGGCCAGGGGGGTAAAGAGTTAACAACCACTGAATGAATGAGTAAATGAATGAATGAGTCACAAGTAAGGAGCATCTAGGTTCTAGGACAAGGAAGATTTAAGCAGGATGGCTGGGGGAGGGGAGGGAAAGTGCTGACCACATGGCCTGGGAGCCTGCTACACGCTCCCTGGAACCGGAGGACAGGACCCATGCTGTCCCAGGCGATGCACAGGTGATGGTCTGAGGGATGTGGAGCTGCAGGTGGTTATGCTCGGCCTGGACTCACACACCACGGGCTGGGCTGCTCCGTGCCTGGGAGTCCGAGTGGAGACCAGAGACCACGGAGGCTGGAATTCCAGGCCCTCCTGTTATCTCCCCCCCGACCCCCGGCTGGCACATTGTTCCTCCCAACAAGCATCCAGACTCCGTGGAAGGTTCAGGATTGGTGAGAGAATGAGCTCTCAGGGGGAACTCCTCACAGTGACAGACTGGCCTCCACGGAGAGCAGATCTTCGGAAAAGTGAAGGACGCCGATGGTGCCCGTCTCCTCCCGCTGGAGGCGGTGGGCAAGGACGGGTGAAGGGCAGCCCCTTCTTGCCGTCCCTGGGACTGTGCAGGGAAAGCCGGTCCAAGTAATTAATGGAAGTCATTGGGGGTCAGATGGTCACGAGTGGAAGTCACTCAGCAGTCACAGATGCCAAGGCTGGCGGTGCCAAGGAGAGGACACGGGGTGGGCGGAGGACTCAGAAAGGCGAGGGGCTGCCGCACTGCCCAGCAGGAGAGAGCGCTGATGGGCTTGCTCTCGGGGCTCTCAGATGAAAGGCAGGCTATGAAGTCTGGGGGTTTGCATCCCTAATCAGCAGCCCACACTGGGGCCGAGGGGAGGCTTCTGAGCCACAACAAAATTGGGCAACTGCTGAGGAGGACGCATCAGAAGTGGTTCCTGGCATCGCAGCCCTGGGCTCAGAACTGTGCCCCTCCAAGTGAAGAGGCATTTTCCTTTAATGCATTCGCTGTATCTTGTAACTCCTTCCCTGCTTGTATCTTCTCACTTCACATGTGGCTTTCAAGTCCTTGGAAAGGGTAAAAATTTTCCATCTACCCATCCATCCATCCATCCATCCACCCACTCACCTGCTCATGTACCCACCATTTATCCATCCATCCATTCACCTACCTACCCATCCATCCACCCACTCACCTACTCACTCATCAATCCACCCACCCACCATCCATGAGCCCATCCATCCATCCATCCATCCACCCACCCTCTTCATTTATCCACTTCACAATATTATTTTTTTAAGAGGTGAAGCTTATATTTACTGAAAAACTTCAAAATATTTATCAGGCTCCGGCCAAGCCCACACCAGGGCTAGGCTCTGGGAATACAGGATAAACACGACAAGCATGGGCCTCACTCTCATAGCGTGCAATCTACAGAGGGGGAGACCTACACAAGCAAGCCAGCGACACCCAGGAAGCCCACACAGTCCTGAGTGCTGTGAAGAGAATCAAACAGGTGATGACGCATTAGAGGGTGGCAGGTGAGGGTCTCTTTCGCTGGGATGAGCAGGGCAGACCTCTGAGAAGGTGACCTTTGAACTGAGACCTGATTGACAAGAAGCAGCAATAGGGCAGAGATGGCAAACCTTTTGAGCTCGGCGTGTCAGCATTTTGAAAAACCCTAACTTAACTCTGGTGCCGTGTCACATATAGAAATTTTTTGATATTTGCAACCATAGTAAAACAAAGATTTATATTTTTGATATTTATTTTATATATTTAGATGCCATTTAACAAAGAAAAATCAACCCAAAAAATGAGTTTGCGTGTCACCTCTGACATGCGTGTCATAGGTTCGCCATCTAGGGGAAGAGCATTCCTGGTGGAGGGGACAGCAGGTCAGGGCCCTGCGTGGGAAACTGAAGCAGTGCCCAGGGGCTGAAGGGCGGGAGTACTGGGGAGAGGCACAGGAGCAAGACCACTCACGGCACATCACACAGCCCAAGAGCTGGCCAGGTGAGCAGCACGCCCAGCTCCACTGCCCTCCAAATGCGCAGAAAGGGAATCCTCTGGTGTCTTCTGGAGTGTTTTATTACTTTGCTATTTTTTTAAAATATATTTTTATTGATTTCAGAGAGGAAGGGAGAGGAAGAGAGAGATAGAAACATCAATGATGAGAGAGGATCATTGATCAGCTGCCTCCTGCATGTCCACGACTGGGGATTGAGCCTGCAACTGGGGCATGTACCCTGACTTGGAATTGAACTGTGACCTCCTGGTTCATAGGTTAACGCTCAACCATTGAGCCACACAGGCCAGGCACTGCTAGTTTAATACTCCAGTGACCCCACTCCCAAACACCGTGAGAGCCATTTCAGCGGTGGTGGGTCCACCGCAGCACGCCGGCCTGCATGGACCTCAGCCTGGACTCCGCCTTGCCGCCTCCTTCCCTTGACCTTCCGTCCGTAGGGAGGGAGGCCACGTGGTGTGACCCTCTGTGGAAGGGGAAGTTTATGTGCTCTGTTCATGTGATAATGGGGGTTGTGACAAGTGAGTGTTGTGACAGTTAAGGGCTCCTGTCTGCCAGGCCTGGTCAAGGGATGGTATTCAGCAATGGTGGCCCACTGGCCCTCACTTCATGGTGCGTCCTGTCCAGAGGGTATCTCTGGGGACAAAGGATTCCATGGGGATACAGGGGATAGAGGAGACGTCATGGTTCCAGCTTAGAGCTCCACCGTGAGCATGTCCCACCCCTGCGTTTGTCACCCTCCCAGGCAGCTCAGAAGGGTATGTGGAGCCCACGGCTCCCCCCAGTCTCAGCAGAATTCTGCAGCCTCCCCATCAGTGAGGAAGGACTGAACTGCTGAATGGTTTCTATGCCCACTTCCTTTCCTGTTCCCCCTGAACCTCATCGGTGTGGAAGCTGGCTGGTTGCCATGCCTGCAGCAGGTGGCAGCCCTGCCCCAGGGGCTGTGTTTGTTACCAAGCATAATCTGCACATCCCGACTGATACACAATATGAACTACCTACAAAGTCAAGTTGTTGCCATGATTTTATTGCATCCTGGCGGGTGAGTGAGGCTGAAAGCAAGGTCACCCTGCAAGGTCACCTCCAGGAATGGCAGCTTGGAATTAAACACCTGGGCAGGGCAGGGATGGTTTGGGAAGGGCAGGCCAAGAGCCCCAGCAGGATGGGTGGAGGCCACACTGTCCAGGGTCAGGGTGAACCCTGGTAGACACAATGGATGCCCGGTGGGTGCCAGTTCAAACTGACTTAAAGCCCAAGAGAGACTCCATCCCCAGAAATACATGTCCCTCTAAACAGTACCAGTCTGAACTATATGGGCCCACAAATATGCGGACTTTTTTCAATAAATATATAGTCAGCCCTCTGTATCCCCAGGTTTTGCATCTGTGGATTCAATCTACCACAAAACTGGACCAAACTGGCTCAGTGGTTGAGCGCTGTCCTATGAACCAGGTGGCCACCATTCAATTCCCGGTCAGGGTATATCCCCAGGTTGCAGGGGATAGAAAGACAGATAGGTAGATAGGTAGATAGGTAGGTAGGTAGATAGATAGGATACACATATCTCTTGCTGGTTTTGTTTCTCTAGAGGAACAAAGTACTAGTACACCCTACTAGTACACCCTCACTAGTGCACCCAACTGTCCACTCTTGAGTGGCTTCTACCAGTTACTCTGCCACAAGGCCTCATTTATTTCCTTCATGGCGCCCATCACTACTTGCAATTTCAGTTTTGCTTAGCTGTTTATGTTCCACCCATAGTAATACGAGGCCCACGTGAGCAGGGGCCTGTCTTACTCAATGCCTGGCGCTTAGCAAACACTCAGGAGATGGAAAGGAGCAATGGAGGAGTCACGTAAGGAGTGTATTGTGAGAAACAATGGAGGCGTGATGCCCAGATACGTCCCGGAGCTTCTCGTGAGCCCCCCCCCCCACCCCCCCCGTCAGTCCCCCCCCCCAGTCAGTCCCCATTAGGCCCAGAGCTGCTATTCCGTGTCGCCTTGCATTACCCCGCTGGGCCCATGACACTGCTGGTGCCATGCTACCTCAGAACCAAAGCGCTGCATTCCCCGCGCTGGGAATCACTGCCTGCCACGGCCTGGGCTCCAAAATCACATCACACACAGCCCGAGGCCGAGTCCCAGTTCGTTCGTTTCATGTCTTTACCATTTTGTGGGTCCGATGCCTCCTGCTTTCTGGAAGCCTGGCCTCCGGGAAGGTTTCTGTGCAAATTCTGGAGCTGGCGAGTCTGGAGCAGTGCCAGCAGGGGGAACGCTGGGGAGCGACTCAGGGACAGGTCTGGGGACGAGGAGGGGAAACAACGCCAGAGGGAAGAGTGACTCTGAGCAGCGCCCATCAGGACTGTTCAAAGCGACTGTCCTTGCTCCGTGGGCCGCTGCCTCACGGGGATAAGGACCAAGGTTTGGTTTCTGTCCACAAAAGTTTTCCCAACCAAAATGGAACAACAAACACCCTCCGGCCAGTTCTTGGCTTTCTCCTCGGTGCCATATTAGCCAAACGGGGTAGAGGGACCTGAACCCCGACCCCCACTGTCTGAGCAGCCGCCTCCTGGGAGGTAGGAGGTGCATCATGGCGGCCCAGGCCAGGCCAGAGCCGTGGATGTCACAAAGTCATCGTTGTGGGCGACCGCTGCACGTCTCGTGTCCCCTGGGCTGGATTCCCACCGGCGGCTGTGAAGCCCGACTCCATCATCTCCCCACGCACACCCCACGCTGAGTGGCAGCCCCTCCTCCAGGAAGCCTTCCTGAGCTCCTCAAGCTGCGGATTCTACACTCTGAGGTCGGAGGTCCCACCCGGTGCGCCCCCGGGTCCCAGGCGTGGAGCAGGCGCCACTCTGGGCGGCTCAGGGCACTGACCGTGTGGGTCTCAGCATTTCCCTCTCTCCTCCGAGGGGAGCCACGAGTGGGTTCTGGAAAGCGAGGAACGGGAGGGGGGGCTCAGTCGTCCTCATCCTCGTCCTCCTCCTCGGTGTCCTTGTTGGGGGTGCACCTCTGGAAGCACTGCACCACGGTGGCCAGGAAGAAGCTGGAGATGATGGCGGCGATGGACACGGCCACGCCCGAGAAGATGATGATGAACAGGTCTGTGAGCGAGAGGCTGAACCGGCACTCGCTGAAGCTGGCCTCCGACAGCTGGCGCAGGAACACCCTTCTGTTCTCGGGGGGCAGGGAGCACTGGATTTCATCGAGGCCTGGAAGGGGTGGGCAGGAGGAGAGACAGGTTTAGGCTGTAGCACGGGATTGCCTAAAAGTTGGCAAGGCCAGTGCTGGCAAAGTGCAAAGCCGAAGCAGCCCCCCCAAAAACAAAAGGGGGAGAAGTTGATTGGAATGGAATTTTTAAAAAATATATTTTATTGATTTTTTACAGAGAGGAAGGGAGAGGGATAGAGAGTTAGAAACATCAATGAGAGAGAAACATCGATCAGCTGCCTCCTGCACGCCCCCCACTGGGGATGTGCTGCAACCAAGGGTACATGCCCTTGACCGGAATCGAACCTGGGACCCCTCAGTCTGCAGGCCAAGGCTCTATCCTCTGAGCCAAACCGGTTTCGGCTCGTTCTGCATTTAGTTGATCAAAGATGCATGTGTTCATATCAGATCATGGCTACCTCTGCTAGAGCTCTAAGGGAAGTAAATTCTTTTAAATGGTAGTATCCATATAGAGGTCCCACTACTATATTGGGCCACTTTAAATATGCTTTAAGTTGTTACGCCTGAGTGGTGTTTTATGGAAGGGGTGGTGGAGTGTGGGGCAGATGCCATGGGATGGGGGCCGCTAGTGTGTGTTACCAAGCATAATCTGCACAACCCGACTGATACACAATATGAACTACATACAAAGTATAGACTTCAGATACAAAAAAAATGCATGACATTCAAATGCATAAAGAACTCACATTTTCTGTTTCTTACGTGGAAGAAGAGAAAAACAAAATAGTAAGTCACCCTCCTATTGCACTTGCGAAGTACAAACACTGTTCTAAGTGCTACATACATATTAACTTCTGATTCGCACGACCACCTTCTGAGGTAGGCATTGTTATTATGCCAACTACGGACGAGAAAACTGAAGCTCGGGGAGTGTATAGAGCTTGCTGTGTCAGCAGCACAGCTTCTCAGAGATGTAAGAACACCATGTGTCATTAAGCACAACTGCTGCGATCTCTGCTTACCTCTGGCTTCCTTTCAACCCTCGGGAAAACCTTCCATTGCTCGCTTTTTCAGCGCTTCCTGGATTCAGAAGCTGACCCTCAACCCATCTCCAGCATTACCTGAAAGTCAAGATGATTTCTTCACATCACGCTAATTAACTGGTTTCTGTCTTGCAAAGAGTGGTCCTGCTCATTGCACAGCAAACCTGCAACTACCTTTTGGGGTCTTTATTTACATACTAGAGGCTGGTGCACAAAATTTATGCACGGGTAGGGTCCGTAGGCCTGGCCGGCGATCAGGGCCGATCTGTGGGGGTGACCGGTGGAGCAACTGGGGGGCCCCCTGCTGGCACCGCCTTGGCTGGCCTGGGGCCTGCAGGCTAGGGGCAGCTCTTGCATTGAGCATCTTCCTCTTGGTGATCAGTGCGTGTCATAGCAACTGGTCATTCCATTGGTCGTTCTGCAGTTTAGTCAATTTGCATATTAGGTTTTTATTATATAGGACTAGAGGCCCGGTGCACGAAAATTTGTGCACTCGCGGGGGGGGGGGGCACCGCACCCTGTCACACACAGAGCAGGGCCGAGCAGGGGGTTGGGATGCCGCACCCTGTCACACACAGAGCCACAGGGTGATCAGGGGGTTGGGGAGCTCCCCCATATCAGGCACAGAGCAGACTGCCATCTTGGCTGGCAGTTAATTTGCATATCACCCTGATTAGCCAATGGGAAGGGTAGTGGAGGTATGGTAATTACCATTTTTCTCTTTTATTAGATAGGATATTTCCTTCTCCAAATCAGAAACAGAAGAGGAATGAAGAGTGGCTGAGCTTCCTCCTTTCTTCAGTCCTGGCCCATCTTTTATGTGTCAATAGCCAATCTATGATGCTCTCTTCCCCATGGGAACCATTGCCTAGAAACCAGACTCACAGTCCCTCCTCCCAGACTCAGTTCCTACCTTCTATACCCAAGGAATTAACTGGACCAGAGCTCTTCAGGTTTCTCCAGCTTCCACTTGACTACAATTTATGACTGTTTTCTTTTTTTAAAGAAGCCAAACTTTTGTTTACTTCTTTTGAGCATTTTAAATGTCTTTGGACAGAACAGAAGAGCTTTAAGACAGTGTTTTATTGGGATTTCCTTGTGGCCACTTTTCTTCAATGGAAAAATGGGAAAATCAATTGATCTGCCTCCTCTTTTCTTTTTATGGCATATATTTTTTAATTGATTTTTTTAGAGAGAGAGAAGAAGGGAGAGAGAGAGAAACATCAATGTGAGAGAAAAACATTGATTGGTTACCTCCCGTATGAGCCCCAAGCGGGGACCAAACCCACAACCTTTTGGTATACAGGACGATGCTCCAACCAACTGAGCTACCTATCCAGGGCTTGACCCACCTCCTCTTAACATCCCCCCAGCCCCAGCCACAGGTGGTATGAAAATAAACAATATGGAGACCAACAAACGGTATGACGCACAGGCAGTTTCTAAAGCCAAGATAACATTCGCCAAGATAACATTCAAGCCGTAAGAGGTCATCATTACCTAGAGAAATGCTGTATGATTCCTTGTTCAATGGGCTGCATTCACGGGAAAGCAACACAACAAAACACAGCAGCTACAGAGCCCGCCCGACTCCTCACGCCAATCCTGCTTTCCCCAGTGTTCTTTGTGCCTTGAGATTCCTTTGGCGTTTTTACAGAGTGACGCTTTGAGGAAATGTCACCTCACATTTCTCTGTGGCTAGAAGAGACAGACCTGTTTAAAAACCGCCACACATGAGCCCAGCTGGGGTGGGAGACCCCGGAACACGCTCGAAGGCGCTTTCGCGATTAAGATCCACCGGCTTGATGGGTTTCCACAGCTCACAAAGGGCCGGGAAATAAGAAGAGTCGGACAAAGAGTCAGCTGGGCCTGCAGAGGGGGCAGAGCATCGCTGCCAGGGCCTTTGAAAGACGCATTCCAGGCCGACTGCAGAGTCGGGAGATGGGGTAACCTGGCTTTGGGGTTCCCTCTTCTCTCCTGCAGGATCCTACCTTAGACCAGAATTTCTCAGTCTCAGCCCTACTGACAATTGGACTGGATGACCCGATAATGTGGGGGCGGCCTCTGCACTGAAGGGTGCTTATCATCGTCCCTGCCCTCTGCCTGCTGGAGGCCGGGAGCATGACCCCTCCCATTGTGACAATCAAAAATGTCTCCAGCCCGGCCGTCGTGGCTCAGTGGTTGAGCATCGACCTATGACCCAGGAGGCCATGGTGCAATTCCTGGTCAGGGCACATGCCCATGTTGTGGGTTTGATCCCCAGTGTGGGGCGTGCAGGAGGCAGCCAATCAATGATTCTCTCATCATTAATGTTTCTCTCTCCCTCTTCCTTCCTCTCTGAAATCAATAAAAATATATTTTGGGGGAAAAAGAAAACCCTCCAGACAGTGCCACGTGTTCCCAGGAGGGGAGTGGGAAAGGAGACGGAATTCCCCCCCTCCCCCCCGGCCCACTCTAGACTGAAATACTTCAATAAAAATATATTTTGGGGGAAAAAGAAAACTCTCCAGACAGTGCCATGTGTTCCCAGGAGGGGAGTGGTAAAGGAGACAGAATTCTCCCCTCCCCCCCGGCCCACTCTAGGCTGAAATGCTCAGCTAAGTGGGTAACCTTCTAAGGCAGGGCCACTCTTAGTTACTAGACAGACATTTCATTATTAAACAGCTTTCTTTGATTCATGCATTAAACAAAATGGGTGAGGCTTCATGCTAGATACAAAAAAGGAAGAAAGATAAAAGGAAGGAGGGGAAGGAGGAAGGAAGGAAAGAAGGGAGAGAGGGAAGGTAGAAAGAAGGTAGAGAAAGAGGAGAGAGAGAGACTTAAGTCTATCGGGAGGGGCATCAGACACAGGCACAAATGAGATATTTTTTTAATATATATATATACATATATATATATTTTATTTTTTATTTTTTGTTAATCCTCACCCAAGGATATTTTTCCATTGATTTTTAGGGCAAGTGGAAGAGAGAGGGAAAGACAGAGAGAAACATCAATGTGAGAGAAACAGATTGATTGATTGCCTTCTGCACACACCCTGACCAGGGCCCGGGCTGGGGAGGTTCCCGCAATCACGGTATGTGCCCTTGACTGGAATTGAACCCAGGCCCTTTGGTTCTCAGGCCGATGCTCTATCCACTGAGCCAAACCAGCGAGGGCGGTTGCCATTGTTTATACTCAAGAGGTTCAACCAACAGACTGGAGGAAGATGGAGTTCAAGGATGGGCTGACACCTGTCTTGTCCATCCCTGTCCCACAGCCACAGATCATCCCGCTCTGCCAGCTGTCCTACCAAACTGCGTGCGGGGAGGCTGCAGGGCCCGAGAGAGTGGGAAGGACCAGTGCGGCTGGCCTCTTCTCCCAGGGAGAAAACTCAGGGAGCAGGTGCACTGAGGGGAGTGAGGCCCTGCCGACAGCCCACTGCTCCCTGCCTTCATGGGCACCACTCCTTCTCCACCAGGGCACACTCGGGAGAGACGGGCCCCTTTCTTGTGCAGGGGGCTCCGTACATGCCTGCCGCCACCCCTCCGGGCTCTGTCCCCTTCACTAATGGCTTCTTCCCAGCAGCTGACACCTGAGCTGGGGAGGGTGAAGAGCTGCCATTCTCCCGAAATAGATGATGACACAGAGGAAGGCTGAGAGGAGATTAATCTTTCATCCCTTGTCAGCGCATGGGCCCGCGGCCAGGGGATCTCTCGGGGCCTTTCCGGGATCTGGCCTCCAGGAGCTGCCGCACCCAGATCAACAACAGGCTCCCCTAAGCACTTGTTGTCATCAAACATATTTTTTGGCTCGGCTGGTGTGGCTCAGTGGTTGAGCATTGTCTTATAAACCACGAGGTCATTGTTCCATTACCAGTCAGGTCACATGCCTGGGTTGTGGGCTCCATCCCCTGTGGGGGGTGTGCAGGAGGCAGCCAATCAATGATTCTCTCTCATCATTGAAGTTTCTATCTCTCTCTCCCTCTCACTTCCTCTCTGAAATCAATAAAAATATAGTTTAAAATATACGTATTTTTTGTTT